CAATCAAGAACGATTGAAGAATTCACGATGACAAGTTATGGGAATGCAAACTATCCAGCAACGCTACCAATTCTGAAAGTTGACAACTATGAGAATTGGTGCAAACAGATGAAAGTCTTATTCAGGTGTCAAGGTCTTTGGGACCTTGTAAAAGATGGAGTCGAAGCGCTTGGCGAAAACGCTTCAGAAGAAGAAAAGAAGAAATACACAGAATCTGAGAAGCTGAGTTATAAAGCATTATTTATAATTCATCAATGTGTCAGCCCAGAAAATTTCGAAAAGGTTAGTGATTCAGAATCTGCAAAAGAAGCTTGGGAGATCCTTGAGAAGTCTTTTAGAGGCGCTGAGAAGGTGAATGAAGTGAGGTTACAAACTCACAAAAGGACCTATGAACTACTTCAGATGGAAGACAGTGAAAATATATATGATTTCTTCACTAGAGTTACAAAACTAGTAAATCAAATCAAGATATGTGGAGAAGCGTTAACAACAAGAGCTATTGTGTCGAAGATCTTGAGATCTTGAGATCTTTAGCTCCTAAGTTCGACCACATAGTGGTGGCGATAGAAGAGGGGAAAGACTTGTCGAAATTGACAAAGGAAGAGCTTCAAGGGACGCTTGAATCTCATGAACAAAGAATGAACGAAAGAGCCGCAGGAAAATCGAAGAGTGATGTGGCCTTGCAGGCACATTCAGCAAAAGAGACCAAAGGCAAAGGAAAGTGTTTCGACAGAGGTAGAGGTGACTACAACAAATCGAATGGTAGAGGAAACCAAATCGAAGGAGACATGTCGAATCAAAGAAGACCATACCAAGGCAACCAAAGAGGTGGTGTTGCAAATAGAGGAAGAGGTGGTGGTCGAAAACCTGATAAGAGTCACATTCAATGTTACAATTGTCAGAAATATGGACACTATTCGAGTGATTGTCCAGAAAAACAAAAGAATCAAGAAAGTGATGCAAAGCTTGCAAAACATGAAGAAGAAGAGATGATGCTAATGGTCACAACAAGAGATGAAGATAGATTCAAGGACCAATGGTACTTGGATTCAGAATGTTCATCACATATGTCTGGAAGGAAAGACTGGTTTGTCAATATAAAGCCCTAAAAAAAACATGATAAAATTTGCAAATGACAATACCCTGGCAGCTGAAGGTATTGGTGATGTTATGATTATGAGGAAAGATGACAAAAGGTCAGTAATCTCCAATGTGTTGTACATACCAGGCATGAAGAGCAATTTGCTCAGTATAAGGCAGCTGGTCGAAAAGAATTATAAAGTGTCAATCAAAGATAAGTTGATGAGAGTCGTTGATGCAAATGGGAGAGTAATCTTGAAGGCTCCTATGTCTCAGAATCGAACCTTCAAGATTGAACTAAATGTGATGGAGCACAAGTGCCTTTTGACTGCAGCTAGCAGAGATGAATGGATATGGCATTATAGACTAGTTCATCTCAACTTCAGAGACATCAGAGATTTGAAGAGAAGAAATATGGTTTCAGGATTGCCAGAAATTGACATTCCAAACGAGGTACGTGAGGAATGTGTGCAGGCGAAGCAACACAAGAATAGCTTCAGCAAGGATGCAGGAAGCAGATCGAAGGCTAGTCTTGAAGTCATATACTCTGATGTATGTGGACCAATCCATGTGGATTCAATGGGAGGTAACAAATACTTTGTTACATTCATAGATGATTTCAGTCGAAAGCTATGGACTTACCTGATCAAGAAAAAAAGTGAAGTGATCGAAGTATTTACCAGGTTTAAGTCTATGGTCGAAAAACAAAGTGGTCGAAAGCTCAAAGTTTTGAGAACTGATGGTGGTGGAGAATATGTGTCGAAAGACTTCGATAGATTATGTGAAAAGGAAGGGATTGTGCATGAGGTGGTGCCACCCTATACTCCACAACAAAATGGAATTGCAGAAAGGAAAAATTGAACCATCATGAATATGGTGAGAAGTATGTTGAAAGGCAAGAGTTTACCTAAAGAGTTTTGGGGTGAAGCTGTTTCGACTGCAACATACATTTTGAACAGATGTCCTACAAAGAATCTAGAAGGAATTACTCCAGAAGAATGTTAGTCTGGTGTGAAGCCTAGCTTGAGTCATCTGAAGGTATTTGGATCTATTGCACATAAACATGTGCCAGATCAGTTGAGAAGAAAACTTGATGACAAGTCAAGTCAAATGATCATAGTTGGATATCATTCGACAGGAGGCTACAAGTTGTTCGATCCAGAGAACAAGAAGATTGTAATCAGCAGGGACGTGATCATATATGAGTTTAAAGAATGGGATTGGACTGCAAATGTCAAGAAAGATTCAGTGGGAATCCTATTCGAAGAGCCAAAAACTCAAGTCGAAAGAGAAGTTCGACAAGAGGAACCAGCAGATATACCAAGTACAAGCAGACCTCAAAGAACAAGACGCATGCCTGCAAGATTGCAAGATTGTGTGATTACATCAGATGATGTAATAGATAATGAAGGTGAGCTAGTACATTATGCTTTCTATGCAGATGTCGAACCTGTTAATGCAGCTGAAGCATTAAAAGATTCGAAGTGGGTGAAAGTAATGAACGAAGAAGTAAAGTCTATCGAAGACAACAACACTTGGTCACTTGTCGAATTGCCTCAAGGAAAGAAGGCAATTGATGTCAAGTGGGTATACAAAGTGAAAACGAATTCGAAAGGTGAAGTAACTCGACACAAAGCAAGACTTGTGGCGAAAGGATTTCTACATAAAGAAGGAATAGACTTCGACGAAGTTTTTGCACCTGTTGCTAGGATCGAAACAATCAGGTTGGTTGTTGGTCTAGCAGAAATAAACATTTGGCACATATGTCAGATAGACGTGAAGTACGCATTCCTAAATGGACCCTTAGATGAAGAAGTCTATGTTAAACAACCAGTTGGGTTTGTGAAACATGACGAAGAAAGAAAGGTGTACAGGCTACATAAAGCCCTGTATGGATTGAAACAAGCTCCAAGGGCTTGGAATAAGAAAATTGATAGTTTTCTAAGGGAGAAGGAATTTGTGAAGTGCACAACTGGATATGGAGTATATGTAAGAAGAAGCAAGAGTAAAATGCTTATACTATGTCTCTATGTAGATGATTTGTTGATAACAGGTAGCTGTAAAAGTGAGATCGAAGACTTCAAAGGTGATCTATGCAAGGAATTCGTAATGTCTGATTTGGGTGAGATTTCATATTTCCTTGGTATCGAATTCTACAAGAGCAGTAGAGGTTTGATGATGCATCAAAGAAGATATGCAGGAGAAATTCTCAAGAGGTTTGAGATGGGAGAATGCAACTCAACTTCGACACCTGCAGAACCAAGACTGCAACTGTCGAAAGATGCAGATGAAGATGATGTTGATCCAACCCAATACAGAAGACTTATCGGATCATTAAGATATCTTTGTCATACAAGGCCTGACTTAGCATACAATGTAGGTATGGTAAGTAGATTTATGCAGAAGCCAAAGGTATCACATCTAGCAGCAGTGAAGAGGATACTAAGGTATCTCAAAGGAACTTTCGATTATGGCATTTTGTTTCCTGCAGTTGATAAAGGAAAAGAATGCAAGTTAGTGGGATACACTGATTCGAGTTGGTGTAGTGATGCTGAAGATCGAAAGTCAACAGCAGGATATGTGTTTATGCTAGGTGGTGCACCAATTGCTTGGAATTCAAGAAAGAAACCAGTAGTGGCATTATCATCATGCGAAGCAGAATACATAGCTGCTTCTCTTTGTGCATGTCAAGCAACTTGGATGGTGAACTTGGTCGAAGAGATAACGGGAAAAAATCATGGAGCAATTACCATGAAGATAGACAACATGTCAGCTATTAATCTGGCAAAGAAACCCAATAGCACATGGTCGAAGTAAGCACATCGAAATGAGATTCCATTATCTTCGAGAGCAGGTAACATATGGGAAGATGAATTTGGAACACTGCAGAACTGAGAATCAGATTGCAGACATCATGACGAAGGGAGTGCAAGTCGAAGTATTTAGAAAGCTAAGAGCCATGATGAACATAGACAGTTTAGACACAATGAATTAGGTGGTGTGTTAAATTGTAATTCATAGTGTCAAAGAAGATTTGATTTGTTTTAGATTTAAATAGATTTGATTTAAGTTCAGAATAGATTTGATTTGATTTAGTAACAAAAAAGATATTTTGGGCTTTGGGCTTAGGGTGTAAGCTCAGTTATAAATAGAGGGAGTAACCCCTATTTTTCAAAGCAAGTCAAGTAAGTCAATTCATTGTAATCACAGAATTTGCAGTTGCAAGTGATTAAGAAATTTTTTTACAGTTTGTGGACAGAGAGAAACTCTGCAGAAATATTTGTCTTGTCTTTTTTTCTTTGTTTGTCTCATAATTAAATTGTCATTGTGGTAAAAATTCATCATAGAATTTGGTGGATTTCTAACATTAACTACAGTATATACATATACTGATTGTATCCAACATTATGCTTCTTTAACACTAGCCATTTTAAAAAGAAAGTCGAGTTTTTTATTTATAAATAAAAATCATCTTAATTGTGCATAATTATAAGTAAAATTCCTTAAATTAAATTTCATTTATGTATAAAAAAATAACATTATTGTTCCAAAAATATCTTATTTTCCAAGAAGAATGTATAGTCCCAATACAAATATAATTTAATAAAATACATTAACAAATTTGTTTCAATATTTATAATTGAAGAAACTTTAGAGTAATCACATAACGGGAAAAGAAAAGGATGAATATGTTGGTGGTGCTCCCCAACCGAAGCAAAAAAAGTGTATAGTCGTTTACTTTCTTTTCATCTTCTTCTCTCTCCTTTAGTCCCAATATCACATAAATTAACTGATAGTACATTACATTTCCTTGCATACACATATACATACACACACACACTCTCTCTCTCCCTCTCTCTCTCTCTCTCAGGTACCTTTCACTGTACTTTGTTGAGAAAGAAAGCCACACCACATAAAGAATGAGTTCATCCTCAGGTCAGACTAGTGGCCATGATCTCTCTTTCAAGATCTTACTAATCGGCGATTCTGGTGTTGGAAAAAGTTGCCTACTCGTTACCTTCATTTCCAGTTCATCTGTGGAGGATCTTTCACCAACCATTGGTATTTATTTCTCACAATTCTCGTTTCTATCGAACTATTGCCAGCTCACCACTCTTGATCTATTGCTTCATGCTCTTGTCTATACATGTTTTTCTTTTGTTTCCTTTCTTATGTCATTTATGTGTTATATAGGTGTTGATTTTAAGATCAAAACCCTCACTGTCGGTGGCAAGAGATTAAAACTTACAATTTGGGATACAGGTATGTTTGTGTATATTTACTATAATCAATTCAAATTACACCTTTGATAGAGTGTTTCTTTTAGTCATTTTGTTAATTTATCAAAATCATTAGTTTTATTTAAGTGGTATATTCACTTATAACATAGCAATGGATCCATTGCAGCTGGGCAGGAACGATTCAGGACTCTGACGAGTTCTTACTATAGAGGAGCACAAGGAATTATTCTTGGTATGTATATGGTTTGGTTTCTTTTGCTCCCATTTTATGGCATCAAGGGTTCACTGATGAAGGACTTTTGCTAATTTTAATGATTTCTTTTTTATTCAGTCATTCTTTTTCTTTTATAGTTTATGATGTTACAAGGAGGGAAACCTTTACAAACTTATCTGAGGTGTGGTCTAAGGAATTGGAACTCTATTCAACTAACCAGGAGTGCGTGAAGATGCTAGTTGGAAATAAAGTTGACAGAGTAAGTTTTTATGTGTGTTTGTAAATTCTTGTTTAAGATCACAGAGATACCGGAGAGAGGCGCTCATGTGGAATGCAATATTGTCTAAAAATAGTTACAAGCAGAAGGCATCTCTCACCTACAACCCAGTTTCGTAGGGTGGCATTAGGCTCGGTCTAAATTCTAAGATGATATCAAAATCTAACAAACATTTGTTGGGCCACCCGTTATCTAGTTTTAATTTTTAATGACAAATGTTAGTTGTTATTATTTAGTGGGATAAGTTGAACTCACGAACTCCTTCACTCCAATTTCTATGTTCCTTCCCGAAGGCGAAATCACAACTTATCACTTCCTTGGGCTATCCATTGTTGACTCACTTGGGTCTCATGCTCTAGATGTTTAATTTTGAGCGTGAGGGGGTGCGTTGAGAGTCTCGCGTTCAACGTGATATGACCTAAAAATGCATCTTCATGTAGGTGTCATCCCATACCTTACAATAACATTGCTTCACACTTTTTGGCCTCTGTCACCCGTGATATTCTGATGGCATCCATTAGGATACTGGATCCTTGCGTTATCTGCCAGATTAAATGAAATTAGAGCCCCATTTGTATCTGTCGTACATGATATATTAACACTTCCAATTTCAGTGAATGTGAAAATTATCACATATATACACTTTAGGAGGCACCACCATTTTGTATAATCATCCAAATTAAGCCAAAGCTTTAAATTTTTACTGGACACTCTGAAACCATTGACGGACTTTGCGGAGATAAATGGATCCTTGTGTTAGGATTTCATTTAGCATAAATGTTCTTTACCAATGCACATAGCAATAGCATAGGTTAATATCATGAATACCTTACTATTAGATGCTTACATTAGATTCATTAAAATATGAAATGTATATCCTTTGTTTCTGGACTGCCGGGAATGCCATCACATTGTCTACTCACTAATATCGGCTATGGTGTATCTCTCTATTTTTAGGATTCTGAAAGGGCTGTGAGCAGAGAAGAGGGATTAGCCCTTGCTAAAGAATTGGGATGTTTGCTTCTTGAATGTAGTGCTAAAACTCGAGAGAATGTGGAGAAGTGCTTTGAAGAACTCGCTCTAAAGGTACTATTTTAGAAGTTTCCTTTAAAGCTCTTTCTGTCTTGTGTAATACAACTTTCCAACTAACCAGCATTACCTACCTATTACTATTCGGCTGTTAGCAACACTGTTCAGCTGTGCATAATATATTTTTTCTCATTCGATTCGCGAATAACTAGTACCGTACAATTTTGTAGATAATGGAAGCGCCTAGTTTATTGGAAGAAGGATCAACAGCAATAAAAAGGAATGTTCTAAAACAGAAACAAGAACCACAAGCACGACAAAACAGCGGCTGTTGCTCTTAAAATGCTGCATTATGAACATTTTGGAAAATCATGTATATGTGAGTGTTTTGGTTGCTCAATTACTTGTGATTGGGGAGAAGTTAGCAACAATGACATTTATCAGCTTGTGTAAATTTGTTTGCCTTTGAATGATTGTATCATTTGTGTGTTGCTCCCAACTCAATCTGATAATTATACTTGCATAATTATGTTTACTCACAATTCACAAACTTGTACAAACTATAAAATATGTTTATGCTTAAAGATTATAGGGTTTGTCACAATCAAAGATTTCTCTTTAAGGTACTTATCATATTATAAACTCAGTCCCACATATACAAACACTCATGAACTTTTTTAGATTTAGTACCAGTCATGTTAGTTATAGTGCTTGATAATGGTAAACATGAGTGGTGTTTTGTTTGTGGGGTCATAATCACTCATTTTGTTCACAAAAGTAGTTATAACTGTTGTATTTTTTATTATATTTCAAAAGTATCATTATTAAAATATATTAGAGTATCGGTTAACTTAAGTGTGTGGACTGGAAGTTGATCCAAAAATTCACGTATATGTGTGTGTATGATACGGCAAAGAGCATACTAAGTGTTTAACATGATATGACAAGGTGTGATAATGATTTCATCTCCCTGAAGGGAAACAAATTGATCAAGAAAAGTAAAGAATAGGAATAATGATTTCATCTCCCTCAAGGAGACGAATTGATCAAGAAAGTAATGAATAGGAAACGTAATGGACATTGAACATTGTTGAAGCTGTATATAAATCAACAAAATGTGATATTTAGACACCAAAAAATTGGACACCATAAGGTGCTGTGTCCTTTGGCATATTTTATGTATACATGTACTCTTAGGAATTTGTGGAAGTATATATGAATAAAAAATAATAAAAGTTAGAGATTAAAATCATACGGTGTATGTACAATGTTAAAAATATTGGATCAACTACATGAATTTGAATTCCATGCAGTTACAAATGACACATTGTTGGTACATTTTTGAAGATTATTTTTGTCATTAAAATTTTCAATTTTATTTTTTTCAAAACTATTTCTCACTTAATTACTTATCTGGACTGGGCCTACATTTGTCTTACGAACAAAAGACCTAAACGATCCAAGTTAGAGATTGTGGGGCACCTCCCCATCTAATCGTTGGGGGACGTGGCCCACCACTTCTCAACGGACATATCAAACTGCCTTTCGGAAATTTCGGATGCAACCCTATTCTCGCGGAGCGGTTGATCAGAGGGGAGTCCACTTGCTGGACTCCATGCTCACGTAAATCCTGACAGTTCCCGTTATTGGGCCTCTGCGTAGCCCAATAGTGGAGACCTTGGCCCAGCGCTGGAGGCTATAAATACCCTCTCTCATGAGAGGGTCAGATTTTCATTCATTCATTCATGCCTATATTCATACTTGCTTGCTCATTTCGTCTCTTACTTTGCCATTGGAGTGTCTTGCAGGTACCCCCCCATCTCCTTCAAATCCAGCCCGAAGCCAGCTGTGACGGTCCAACTCTGATCAGGTCAGATCAGTGGCGCCGTCTGTGAGAATCTAAGCTTCCCTGTCTTCTCTCCACTCAAAAGACCAAAGCTAACAATCCTCGACTGTCATGCCGACCTCGACAACGCCGGTACCGTCGACCATAATACGGTCTCTGGCGCCAACATCCCCTGACCTTCTAACTACCGGGACGGAGCCACGACTTCTTCTTCATCAATCCCTCCTCGACTTGAAGAAGATCGACCAAACTACCCAGCCGTCCAATTCCATGAGGTCCCCATCCCCGCCGGGGCAGACGCCACGACCAGGGCACTGTTCCCAGCGATCAACCAAACCAATTATCTCATCTTCTCCCAGGGGGAAAGATTGAGAGCACTCGAGGACGACCGAAGGCCCCCTAGAAGGCACAGAAGACCTCAATCTCCTCCCCCCGACAAGCGGATGAACATCCCCAATCTCCCCCATGGAGACAGAATTGGGACATCTCTCGAAGTCCGTCACCCCGACCACTCGGGCGACGACCCCCTTTGGAGAGGGAACAACTCGTCGACGCGGGAAGGCACGACTATGGACCCTCGTGGCAAGAACGAAGACCTCCCGGAGACAGACACGGGGGAAACCATCAACGGTCACACCGCTCGAGGAACGCTTCGCGCGACCAGGGCCACCATGACCGCCACTACATCGGATCCCCGTCCCGCTCCCCGGAACAGAGTGAAGAGGACGACCCGCACGGTCCCTTGTCACAAGTTATCATGGAGGAGCCCATTCCCCCGGGCATGGAGAAGCCTCCCCACTTAAAGGAGTACGACGATATCACCGACCCGGTCGACCATATAAACGGGTTCGAAGCCATGTTGCACTACCACAATGTCGAGGGACCAGTCAAGTGTCGGTTGTTCTCCATGACTCTGAGGAAAGCGGCTATGGATTGGTACAAAGGTCTCTCCCCGGGGTCAATTACCTCTTGACGAAACCTGAAGAATCAGTTCATCAGCTCGTTCACTGATTCGCGATGACACCCGAAGACCGAAGCAGCGCTCGAGGCCATCGTCCAGAAGCACGATGAGACCTTGAGAGAATTCATTAACTGCTTCAACCAGGAAGCTATCCAGGTCCGCTGCACGGACCATATGAAGAGATACCTGCTGGAGAGGGGGATCCTCCCTGGCACCGAATTCAAAAAAGCTGTGGGCATTGAACCACCCCGAACGTTTGATGCCCTCCTCGAAAAGGACAGGGCCTACATGGACTATGAGGAGAGAGAAGCGGCCAACAGAGCCCGAGACCCCAGAAACCGCGGATCCAGCAGCAATCCGCGACAAGACATTGCCCCTCCTTGACGAACTGGAGAAAAGAGAAGGGACGATAAACCCCGAGACGCCCGAGAACAAAGGGGACCCTTGGGAAGATTCACAGAATACACTCCGCTTACGGCTTCCTGTGAGCGCATCTTAGCGGAGTGCACAAGCACAAATTTCAAGGACGGTGGTGTCAGACGTCCCCGTCCAGCTCCTGCCAAACCCAGGGTAGACCGAAGCAAATACTGCCAGTACCACCGGAGCCACGGGCACCTGACCGAAGACTACGTCCACCTCAAGGACGCCATCGAGACCCTCATAAAAGGGGGAAGACTTGCACAATACCGGCGAAATGGCGCTCCTCATCGGGATGCCCATGAGACGAGGGAAGCAAAAGAGGATTCCCGACCATCTGACAAGTCGGTTCACATCCAAACCGCGTTCTCCATCACAAGGCCCGAGGACTTCTACGTCCCTGGACATTTGCAAGAACCTCTGTCTATGCACAACAAGTGGGAACACTTCCCCTCCGCCATGGTCATCAATGATTGAGGGTTCAATGATTTGACCATAAATTCAGCCAAGAGGAAGCCGGACGAGTTGGTCGACACGACTCCCCCTCAAGTGGTGACCTTTGAAAGGGTGAGAGGCAGATCAGAGCCAATCACCTTCTACCTCGAGGAACTCCCCGGAGGGGCCCCCAATTCGGCCATCCCTCTGCTGATAAGGGAAAGAATGGCCAACTTCAATGTACATAGCATCCTCATCGACGAGGGAAGTTCCGTCGACGTGATGTACAGCCAGCTGTTCCGAACCCTGCAGCTCGACGACTCTCACATTTCACCATACATGGGATTAGATCTGCATGGCTTTAACGACTCGACCTCCAAGCCTTGGGGATACGTCGAGCTCATGGTCACGTTCAGAGAGGATAATACTACGAGGCAAGTCAAGGTGCGCTTCCTCATCATTGATTGCCCCTCCCTCTATAACTGCATTCTGAGAATGCCGACACTGGCAGAGCTGACCGCGGTGCCCTCCACCGTCCATTTTAAAAGGAAGTTCTACACCAAGAGGGCATGGGTTTCCACCATCCACCGTGACCTGGAAGCTTCCCGAAGGTGTTTTAACGCGGCATCCAAGGTACACAACACGGTCGACACCAGCACAAGGCCCGCTAAGAAAGCTGCAACTACGCGACCAGAACCTCAGCGGTCAGAGCCCGTCCGAGCGGAAGAACAGAGAGCCCCTCCAAAGGTCGACTCAATATCCCTAGACACTCGCTTCGACCAGGACGAGCCTTCCAACGGCGAGCAAGTCCCCCTCCGACCAATTCTAAACGAGGACTTCGAGCTCGTCCCCCTCGGTGAAGACCCAAGCAGAGGAGTGAAGATTGGCACCGGACTCCCCGCTTGGCGAGGAAGCAGATCAAGGCTTTCTTGAGAGAGACTGTAAATCTGTTTGCATGGAGCATTGCGGAGATGCCCGGTCTCGACCCTGAGGTCGCCTATCATCAACTCGCCATTGATCCAGCCGCTAGGGTAATAGTATAACGTAGACATAAGCAGTCTCTGGAGAAAGCAGAGGCTGCTGAAAAAACTATAAAAGACCTCTTAGAGGCAAATTTTATTTCTGAAGCCCGATATTCAACCTGACTGTCAAATGTTGTACTTGTCAAGAAAAATAATGGAAAATAGAGAATGTGCGTTGACTACACCGATCTTAATCGGGCATTCCCCAAAGATGCTTTTCCTTTACCTAATATTGATATGTTGGTCGATAACTAGGTCATCTATAAAATTCTATCGTTTATGGATGCTTATTCAGGCTACAACCAAATCCAAATGGAAATAGGCGACAAATACTGCACCACTTTCATGACTAGCTCAAGCAACTATTACTACAACGTAATGCCCTTCGGTCTGAAAAACACAGGAGCAACGTACCAGCAGATGATGAGCAAAGTCTTCCGCAACCAAATCGGGGATATGCTCGAGGTATACATGGACGACATGATCGTCAATTCCCGAGCAGACACCGACCATGTCGCTCATCTCAGGGAAGTCTTTTCCTAAGCAAGGCAATGCAAAATGAGGTTTAACCACGAGAAGTGCACGTTCGGGGTCAAGGCAGGCAAGTTCCTCAGCTTCTACTTAACAGAACAAGGAATTGAAGCCAACCCCGATAAGTGT